AAAATGTGGACAGCATATTTTACTATCCAGTTAAATTATACAAGGTAGTAAAATTATTCAATATTTTATTGTCCAGTGGGAGATATCCCAAGGCTTGGTCATGTGGATATAGTTCTACAACTCATAAAGGTGGTGATAAGAATTAAGAATGATCCAAATAATTATAGAATAGGAAAAAAATAATAGTATTTTGAATGAAAGACTAGACAAATTTCTTGTGGAAAACAAAGTCATTGATGATTGTCAGATAGGATTTACCAAGAACGCTAGAACATGTGATCATTTATTTATTCTAAAATGTATTTTTGATAAATATTGCAATGAAAAGAATGAGAAACTCTAAGCATGTTTTTGGATTTTTTAAGGCTTTTGATACTGTTATTCATACTAGGATATAAATTAAACTTCTTCAGATAGAAGTTGGACAGAACAGTAGACAGACACAATATTGTCAAAGAAATGTATCAAAGAAGTATTTCATGTATAAATATCAATAATCGAATTTCTGATTTTTTTCCCAATCCATCAAGATGTTAAGCAAGGGGAGAAATTGAGCCCAAATCTGTTTAAAATATTTATAAATGATTTGCCGAAATACATGGATAACCCTTTAGATTCTGATACTCTTAATGATCACACAATACACTGTTTAATGTACATTTGTATGCTGATGATTTAATATTGTTATCAAGCTTTTCGAATGGTTTACAATCAAAACTTGATATACTGGAAAATATTGTAATGATTGGTGTCTAAATGTAAACTTATCTAAAACAAAAATTATGATTTTTAACAGAGCTGGAAAAAAATATCAGAAAAGTTTTCTTTTCAAAATAAGTTGATTGAACGTATTAAACAATACAAATATCTTGGTATTTACTTTTGTAACACAGGTTCTTTTACCTTTAATTGCTCAAAATAAATCGTATAAAAAGACCTTGAAAGCATGTTCAAAATAACAGAGAGAAATTATGTCCGATTCTCATAATGTCAATATTAACCTTCATTTATTTGATCATACCATTTCTCCTATTCTTCTGTATCGTTGTGAAATTTGGGGGGCTCTCAACCCCTTTGCTTCTAAATTTCAAAACAAAGATATTACAATGGACAAAATATTTCACAAATTAAAATGTGAAACAATGCACAATAAATATTGCAAGGCTATTCTTGGAGTGCATAGAAAGTCAACAATTTTCGCAGTTCTATATGAGCTAGGTAGATTTTCACTGTGTCATTCAGTAATAAAAACTATGCTAAGTTACTCGTGTCGAACAGAAACATTACATCCTTCTTTTGTCCTACTCAAAGAAGCATACTCCTCTCAACAAGCCTCTTTTTAGAAAATAAACCATCATGGTTTGCATCCATTGAGTCAATTTTGGGTCATATAACTGCTTTCAAAAATATTGTCTTATCAAAATATGGTACTTCATTTAATAAGACGATATTTTATAAACCAATGGTATAGAGAAAATAGGCAGCAAAATGATAGTAAACTAAGAACTAATTCCATCTTCAAAACCAATTTTGGAAGAGAACACTATTTCCACATTGTCAATAACTATGATCAGAGGAAATATATAACAAGACGTCACATTTCTGCACATTAGTTAAATATTGTAAAGGGAAGATATGCAGGACTTCCCCCTTAATCTCAAGAAAGTGTTCTCAATGTTATATGCAGGACGTTGAAGATGAAAAACATTTTTTGCTCATTTGTCCAAAATACAGCAATGAAAGGTTACAATTAATAGAAACAATATCAAAAATCAAACCAAACGTCTCTTCTTTGACACCTACTGAAAAACTTAAATGGATATTGTATAATGAAAATGAAGAAATTTTATGCTTACTTGGAAAATTTATTTCTGAAAATGGTAAAAAAAAACCCAATGTATAAATACATCGATTCTGTCATCAAGTTTATGCACGCTAAGCCATTTAAGTTTACACATGTATAGCATCACATTTTTGAATTGTTTTGTGATCGTTGACATTCTTCTGGACACTAGTATTATGTATGATCATTTACACTGAAAACAATATTATTATGTAACTTGGTCATTTATATAACTGTTTAAAAAATATATTGGTAAAAAAAGAATGTTTTAATTGTACATTTATGTATGTTGAAATGTCCCTCGGGGCCCTTGATTGGTATATGAAATATCTTTTATCTTGTTTAGTGCTTAATCCTATCCTATCCTGTGCTATCCTATCCTTACCTATCCTATCCTGTATCTTACAGAAAAGCAAATGTTTATTTATATTTCAGAATAAATAACGAATACGGAATATGATTTAAAATGTTTATAAAAAAATATTTATAATATAACAATAGACGGAAAAGCTCATTTTTTTCTAAAACAAAGATTTAAAATACAAATTTCGAGTTGTAATGGCGTACGATATAACCGTGAACGATCACCGGAAGAATACCTTTTTATTTCTATTAAAGAACTTTCAGAATTAGAGGTACGTTTAGTCGTCTGATTGGGAATAATACTTTGTGAATAATACAAAACTCGCAATTCTCAATCCATTTTCAAAAGTTAAATGTATTGTCATTCCGATTTAAGAATAGAACTAATAGACATATGATATCTAAGAGAGCGAGATCCAAAAATTCATCATCCACTAATATTTACATTTGCAAATATCTCTCTTAGATGAACAAATTGAAGAGGAAATATTGTCAGTTCTGTATGAATGTTTTTTGGGGTCAGAGATCATAGCGCGACCTTATCACAGAGCGAGATGATATTTTGTCCATTTTGTCGACAGATTTTTGTCACTGTGCAACCTGTTTTGAAATATTTCTAAGTTAATAACCATGTAAAGATAAATGATTAAAATTATGGATATTTTTCAATCACAAAATGTCCAGTATATCTTATTTCGAGTGAGAATTTCAAGATTTTGAAAAACTTAAGGTGATTAGCCTAAAACCCAATCACTCCTAAGAACTTTTGTTCTCTTCTCTACTACAACGATAGTAGAGAAGGTAGAGATTGCCTAAACCGCACTAAGCATAGACGTCGTAACCCGAGGGGGAGGGGGGTAGGGGGTCTTAGCCTGCCCTCTTTTTTGTATAGATCGACATTTTCTATGTATTGAAAATTCGGGTTTACCTATTTTGTTGGTTTAAATAGCCCCCACCCTTTCAACGCCTATGCAAAGCTTTTTAACACAAAATTATTTCGGAGTTATGTAAATTAAAACAGGCAAGACCACCAATTTGATTCAAATATTTTTAGAAACTTATGAAATAGTATGATTATTCTCGGCAACGATCATTGTTCTTTCACTATATACAGAGATTTCCTGAACCAGACTGCTAAATTTTAAATGTTAACATCCTAATGTTGGTGAGAAGTGAATTTACATGACAAAACAACTTCTAGGTCATTGCGCAGAGTTCTTGAAACCTTTTTTCTTTTTCTTTTTTTTTTTTTTTTTTTTTGCTGTCAGTAATTTGGACTGACTGCCATGTGAATTTGTCAGTCCAGACAGATTTCTATTTGTCAATAATAAATTCAATGAAAAAATAAAAACTGTATTTGAATTTCATCAATACACTGTGCATCCAGCGTCAATTAACACACTACATGTACACACTTCATGCCGCTTTGATCGTTGTATAATAACTTTCTTTGAATTATCGTTGGTTTCCAATTCCATCACAAGTTTTTTAATCCATTTCGATTTCTCACCTGACCTATCTTAGCGCCGTCAAAAAATTAGTTTACCAATCATAATTTTGCACTTTCTTTCATCGAAGACGCCATTACAAAATGCAGAAACGCGCTTGAAAGATCACAAATGGTCGGTTATAGGAAATTAGTTCGAAATTTGGTCGGATTGTCGAAGTTCCTATGTCAACACTTACCAGTCATTTGGACTGACAGAGAACGCAAAGTATTCAGATCTTGGTTGCTTTTATCGTTTTTTTTCTGAAAGACTCTTTTTTAAAGGACCGGAAGATTTCAAGAACTCACGTCACAACATAGCAATCTGGCGGCCCGTTCATGTAGTAAATGCATTTTACTCGATATTTATTCGCCTCAAACGTACAAATCAGTAAAATTAGTAATGGACAACGATGTTAAAAAGTTAATTTGATAAATAAGATATCATTTTTGTATCCCAAACAAAAAATACTATAGTAAAGAATAGTTTACTATAGTTAACTATAGTATCAAAATTAAAACTTTTGTACTTTGATTTACTATATTTGGAACTTTGATTTGCTATATTAATCTATAGTATACTATAGTTAACTATAGTTTACTATAGTATTGTTTAGTCATGAATTCGGGTACTTATTCAATTTCTATAACGCCCGAAGGTCGTTATAGTAGATTTGATCACGTACCGACTTCATGTCAAAACGCAATGGAAACTCTAAAAAATTATAATGTCTTTCTTATATTCATAATTTACGTTTTTATTCATATTACCAAGCAATATAGGCTTTATTTAGACTTTGATTTGAAATTCAACGTAAAGTTTCTACGACGTCATGTGACGTAACACTCAGAACCTTCCAAATTGCTCGTGCAGTTTGCTTTCGACATGCAAGAATGTCTGATCATGTAACCAACTGCATGTCATTGAAAATTGAATTTCAATTTCATTTATTTCATTTTTATAAGCATTGTTATTTAAGGAAAGACATCAGCAAATACAAATATTAGAAAATGAGCTTTTAGTTGGTACATGTACCTTATCAAATCTACTGAATAGCCCTTCGTGCTTCACGCAAAATAAAACCACCCTGAATATTTTCCAATCTACGGTATATTTTGCCTGGTCAATAGAAATGCAAACTTTCATAATGCTTTCAGTAAATTGTATAGCATAATTAAATAAAAGCTTAATTTTCGGCCTGAAGACCAATTTTGTTTTCAGCGATTCATTTTTCTTCAAGAAAGATATAAAAGAATTAGTCTTATTATTTTTCGGAAGACTATTTAAAAGAAAAAAAAAAAACTTACCGTTTACTTCAACTTCACACAATTCGTTATGTGCTTCACGGCTGAATTGAGCAGCACGTGCTGTATCCTGTGGTCTGACATTGGAGTAGATGACGTATTGACCGTGTATAGGACAAGTTATATCTGCAACTGACGGGATGGTTGCTCTGGTGTACGTTTCATCATGAAAACATAAATATCCATCAGTTGTGTTTGTTGTATTAGATATGTAGACATAAAATCCTAAAAATCTCTTTGTGTATCCATTCGAAGCATCTGAAACGAAAGCAAAGATAAGGAACTATTTTTTTTTAACTAAAGATAATTTATACGTTATCTGCAGGGGCCTATGTTTTCAATTTCTTATTACATGTAGATTGATCTAAATGCTGAAGTGACAAATTATAGAAATACTTCGTAAGCAATCTTTCCATTCATATCAGCAGCAAAGGGGCAGCAACTAATTAGTTCTGATTTATATATATATAAGTATATGAGCCTTTTGATACATCTGCATTCGGATTTCAATATTGTTAAATAGAAAACTATCAATATTAATCATCCAATAAACCATCTCTCTGTTTCTCACACACACACTCCTGCCATCATGTAGTTAGAGTAATTACATGTCATTGAGCTATTTTTTAAAGTAAAGGTAGTATATAATGCAATTTTTAAAATTTTTGATTAAATGAAAGTAATTATTAAATAGTTAATAATTTATTCTCTTGTATTGATAAATTCGGCACAGATGTACTTATCTTTTTTTTTACTTACCCCAAGCTTCATTGTCCGTTCTATAATAAATTCGTATGTCATGAATGCTGGAGATTGATGTCAGGTTTACCCACCAGATGGCAGTACTTTGACCTTCAGCTGATATTGTACATTGTCCTCCCCAAGCTGATAGGTCAGTCTTTAGCCCATCTACTGCTTTGTCAGACTTAAATAGGGCGTTCAACGGGTTGTACTGCTTAGATTGCCATGTTTGTTTCTTTAAGGCTATATTTTCTTTTTAAAGAAGAAATAAAATGATCATTGTAAAAAAGGAGATGGTTTTTAGGTTAAAAAGAAAATAGTCAATGGATTTGTAAGAATTATATGTAATGTTTTTGTTTTCTTTTGTTTTTAAAACTAATGTCTGTCATTGCTTTGCTTATATTTTGAATATGTCATTTAAAACATAATTGAAACAGTTTTTCAATAAAGAATTCAATGAACATGCATAGATAGTCAATTGAGTTTGCAGATTATTGAAATGTCAGCAAAAAAAAAAAACAACATTTTTTTAAAGAATATTTCAGTTCGTCCTCAAATTTTAATTGTATTTGTTTTGTACATTGTTGAAATATTGTTTTCTTTTTTCCAAAATTTACGCAATATATTTAAAAAAATGAATGAGACTCACATCTGATTTTTTTATTCACATTTTTTTCCAGATATGAGGCAATATAAAATTTTCGAGATGCAAATCTCCAACGATATAGAGGCAAAAACTTATCCATTTCAGCACAGACATGTTGGTTATGTATATAAACCTCCATAAATGATTGAGCAGAAAATAGGGTATTTTAATTCATTTAATGTTAGGGAAAGATGATAATGCTTCGCAATGATAATTTTTATGTTTTTAATAAGAACTACTATAAATTTATTATCGAATATCCATTACTCTGACTTCCTGTTTAAAAAATTTGAACGATTTAAGTATGAAAGGTGCGTGCAGGCATTTAATGTTGAAGAAAACCTGAAGAAGTTCTTGATTTAAATTTCCTATTTAGCTGAAAGTCAATGTAAATATAATACAAATGGAAATTTGAGAAAAACAGTTTGAGTTAAATTACACGTCTGTAAATATCATATAGCCGTATCAAATAGCCATATTAAGGTATAGAATAAAAATTAAGCTACCTTGTACCACACAGAAATTTCCTGAACAATTATTTATTTAAAACGTCTAATGACAAGGAAATTAAAAAAAAGTATTTAAAACAGAGAACATTTGGAAACAGTGAATTATAAGAAATTGTTCAAATTTGATATGCTTTTAACATGAGAAAAATAAATATTATACATGAACAATTATACCAATAAGATAAAATTTTAGGAAAGCAATATTATGTGTTATGCATTTTTGGGATACGGTTAATTTTCCTAAATACTGTCTTTAACGATTATTAGTCCCCTACCTACGGAAGCGTATTAGTGCCACGCAATATTTTTTTTAAAGTTGGAAATTCCAACTCTAAAGTTGGTATTTCCAACTTTAACCTTGGCTTTTCCAACTTTAAAGTTGGAAATTCCAACTTTAATCTTGGCTTTTACAACTTTAATCTTGGCTTTTCCAACTTTAAAGTTGGAAATTCCAACATTAAAGTTGGTAATTCCAACTTAAATCTTGGCTTTTCCAACTTTGAAGTTGGTAATTCCCACTTTAAAGTTGGAAATTCCAACTTTAATCTTGGCTTTTCCAACTTTAAAGTTGGAAATTCAAACTTTAAAGTTGGCTTTTCCAACTTTAAAGTTGATAATTCCAACTTAAATCTTGGCTTTTCCAACTTTAAAGTTGGTAATTCTAACTTTAATCTTGGTTTTTCCAACTTTAATCTTGGCTTTTCCAACTTTGAATTTGAACGTTTAAGAAAGGATTTTATTATTTATTTACTTATCAATTTTGTTTGTCAACCAAAAAAAAAAATTCCTGGATCCGCGCCAGTACGGAATTGATACATTTAGTTATGTTGTATATTTACCAGAAATGTTTCATTTGATTAAATAAAATTTGATTACATTGAGTATTTAATTGCTGTCTCATTCTTTCATACAATACATAATAAATGGCTAATATCTGTAATTGGTTAAGTTTAAATACTGTCATGTACGGAATACTGTGTACATAATTTATATGAAGTTATTCTCAATAGAATTAAACAACACTTAAAGGAATATAATGATTTCTTAGTAAAAGTTCGAAGTTGTATGTAAGGTCATAAGCAAGGTCAAGGTAAAAAATAAAACAAACACAGATAAAAAGAAGTCAACAACTTATTTTAATGTGCTAGTATTTATTTTCTATTATAAAAGTACCATATTATAACCTCCTATAATCCCGTCCGCTATTCTCACCCTACCTTTCTATTTCGACCCCTACCCCTAGATTGCAATGATGAATTGCTAACAAATATATTTCAGTGTGTTTTTTTCACTTTAATTAATGTTGTGATACTTTTAACCAAAAAAAAAAAAAAAAAAAAAAAACAACAACAAAAACTAAGAAAAGCGGGTAGAAGAGCTCGAATAAAAGTTGGAATTTCCAACTTTAAAGTTGGAAAGGCCAAGATTAAATTTGAAATTACCAACTTTAAAGTTGGAATTTCCAACTTTAAAGTTGGAATTTCCAACTTTTAAGTTGGAAAAGCCAAGATTAAAGTTGGAATAACCAATTTTAAAGTTGGAATTACCAACTTTAATCTTGGAAAAGCCAAGATTAAAGTTGGAATTACCAACTCTAAAGTTGGAATTACCAACTTTAAAGTTGGAATTACCAACTTTAAAGTTGGAAAAGCCAAGATTAAAGTTGGAATTTCCAACTTTAAAGTTGTAAAAGTCAAGATTAAGTTGGAATTTCCAACTTTAAGTGTGGTAAAGCCAAGATTAAAGTTGGAATTTCCAACTTTAAAGTTGGAATTACCAACTTTAAAGTTGGAAAAGCCAAGATTAAAGTTGGAATTTTCAACTTAAAAAAAATTGCGTGGCACTAATACGCTTCCGTACCTACCGGTGAAACCGGAAGGGACTATAGGTTTCCTCTGCGTCCGTCCGTCTGTCTGTCTGTCCGTCCGTCCGACTGTCTAGCTGGCCCTGTCTCTGGCAGTCTGTCCCAATTGGTTTTCAGCACTTTTTTCTCAAAACACCTGCAGACAATGAGCTGAATTTTGATATGTAACTGTATCTTAATAAGTTACAGATCAAATTTGAAATTCGCATCGCTTCATTAATTTTTGACAGAATTATGGCATTTTTAATTTTTCACATTTGTTTAACTAAGATCGGTTTCTTGCTGCGTAACTATCGATGGTCGACATCAATATGAAGCGACAAAAGACTTAGGAAAAATTAATTGAATTTTTGTTTTGATGTTGATTATTTTTTTTTTGTGGGGTTAAGGCATTCACAACCTAAAAATCTTGCAGTTTTATCTTGTAAATAACTTTTACATATTATAAAATGACATCCTGAAAAAAAAAAAAAAACGGGAATCCGGTAGGGGACATGTATTGCTTATGCAATACTCTCAGAATGCTTGTTGAAGAGGTAATTCACTATCGCATTTATATATTCCAATTCGGGAATAATGACACAAATTTAACACACTCACAGTGAATTAAATGAGGATTGCTCTTCAGCTATAATTTTCGGCATATATATATATTTTAAGCATTATTAAGTTTCGATTCCTATTTTGAAATAAAATCTACAGAGAGAGAAATATGGTGAAGTGTAATGTTCTTTGCTCGTCATAAAATACAAGATTAAATTAACTGACATGAATTTTATTATCACAATGAGGCAAAAGTACCAAATTTATCGTAAAAGTCGTTGCAAAAAATAGCAAATTTAAGCTTCAAATAAATGTAGCACCTTTAAAGTAATTTCTGAAAATTAACATTTATTAGCATTTATTTTCTGAATATTTAAGAAAATTTTAAGTACTGTGTAAACTAGGTAATCTCAGAAAAATGTCGTTACTTTTAGATGATATGATTGCTTTTTATTTTTTTTTACATCTGAAAACACCAGCAAACTATTTTTGAGAGGAGAAAGATTTTATAAATGTAATAGTCCAGGCTTATAAGTAATTTGAAACTATTTTGTAGTCAACCTTCCTAAAATGACAATATATGATAAAGAGAGACTGTGTTTTATCGAATAATTAATTGATACAAAAAAGAGATCAAAGGAAAAACTTTGAAAACAAAATTGTGTGTAAGACGTTATTAAAGTGCTAAAAGGTCATAGAAAATGCTCCGTACTGCTTGAAGAACTCCCATTTCTTTATTTAACCTTCATTCACATTCTGAAAATACTGTTTCCAAAAAAAAAAAAAAATCTAGTACTTTTGATAACAGGGGCAAATCTCCTTGAACAACTTATTTTTCAAATAGTTTTTGCACTAGTCTGAATGATTTAATTAATATATTAATATATATTTTTCAAAATACACATAGCATTTCTGTCACTTAACACCTATCGATAGATGTACAGCTTATTTAAAATGTGTTGCATTAAAGAAAAGGCCTCGCCTAAGCTTGTTTGAAATTTGAAAGCAAAAGAAACTGCAATTTTAATCATTTACTTTTGAAATGCGTGCATATATTGTATCTCTATTATATATTTATTAATTCTAAGATTTTCATTCAAATGTACGTTCCAATTAAAAAAATACACAACATTGTACACAGGAAATGAATAAAATGTGATAGCATCGACAAAAAAAATTACAACACTCACCCCCCCCCCCTAAAAAAATGGCGCATTTTTTAACGATCATCGGTCGCCATTTGGAGGGATTTCCTGATCTATGCAAGTAGTTTACTTTGAAAAAAAAAAGAAAAAAATATCATAACGATAATTATAAACTTACCATAGCCAAGAGAGTAATAAGTTGTCAATATCACACAAACTGTCAAGAAACTAACTAGCTCCATGTCAGCCGATTTTCCATTTTATTGACAAGGAAGTCAAAATACATTGTTGACAATTTAGATAAAGTCGACCGATTTTACACCTCTGGCTAAATTCAACTTGAGACCGAGGTATTTTTACCAATTTAAATCTCATTTAATATTTTTATGCATGTTCATTGTTGTGGAACTACCCAAGTTGTTGGTATAGGAGGAACAAATACAATAGCAGTGAAAACCTTTTTCAGATAACGTACAATGTATATTTTTTTTTTATGATTTCAATTATGAACTTCTTAGTATATAATAATTTATCTTCATAAACGTTAAATTATAGGTAAGTCAATTAAGGAAGGCATGGACTACATTCAATGTAGGAAACATCCTATTTAACGGGATAACTTGAAAGACATGCGCTTAATATAAAATATTTCTTGATCTACTTTGATTTTTTTCTGAAGAAAGTTCTTTTACCTTTTTTTGCATTTACATTATTTATTATTTTTTTTTTTTTGATTGAGTAAATGCAAAAAAGGTCATCTATATTTTGTGCAGAAAAGAGTAACAACGCAGTTTGATGTTTCAGCTATAGATCAACCTACGTGCAGTATTGTCAATTCACCTTCTTCGCTTGAAAACCATGCACAGGTAAATATTATACTGAAATCACATTCACACAAAAAAATGATTACTGAACCGTTTAGGAAGAAAATGATCAGTTGAACTTCACGATTTCACTACATTTACAATGATGTGCATTTCTGTTTAGGGTATTTATTAAAAGTTACTCAAAATGACAGGAGATGGAAGAAAAATGTGACACTACGTATATTAAAAATTGCATAAAAGGTCCGCCTTTACTTTGCATTAATCCCGTAGATAGTTATCAATGATTTCTATAGGAATAGTCAAATGTGTTATATATCAGTTTGTTGATGGGCTTCTAAATTTAAAAAAAGATTACAATCTCCTCAAATATCTTGTTTGCCAAGGTAAGACTGTATCAATTTAAGTACAGGTCCACCTTAGAATCAAGCAATCAGTGATAAGTCGAATATTTCATATCTGACCCATATTTTTTCATATTAAAACTTTATGGGGTAGTAATTGAAATAAATCATTTTTTTTCAAAAAGGCACAATCAGGCTGTGATATTTTACTATAACTAGATTTAAGTATTTATGGGCCAAAAAAGAGGAAGTTCAGTACAGAAGTAACAACTCTTGTCGTTTTTTTAATTATTATTAATTATTTAATTATATAACCCTATTTTAATTTGATAGGAATATGTAATACTTCTTGTATTAGATGTCATAGAGTTGATACCTAGGTCGTATCCATAGTAACGATTGTAATTATATGTCAATACATTTTGGATGTCACAAACATTGTGAATTTAAAACAGTATTATTAATTACAGCAAACAGGTAATGTACATGTAGCTAATTACATATGGAAAAATTTAACCACTGCTCATTATTAGTTTTCCAGTTTTCATTTTTGGAAAAGTCAATTAGAAGATTTTAATGAGAGGAAAACTGTTGTAAAGATTTAATAAATTTCCTGAAGTTTGACAAGCCTTTTTCTTAAATTTAAGTGCATTTTGAGTTAAAATTAACTTTTATTATTTTTTTTTATGTTATATATTTTTTACATTATAATGAATTTTCCTAATCAATGTACCAAGTTTTTCTGGAATTAATTTTATATTTCTAAGTTTTGTAGAGATTTATGATCGGGATCGAAATTCTGTTTATTAAGCACCCGATTTTTTTCTCTGTTTGTATAATTTTAACAGCTGTTTATCTAGAGTAGATGCACCCAGTTTAATTGTATTACTTTTATCATTCATATATTATAAACTTGTTTACCAATTTATCTATTTAGGAAATTTTTTTCAACCTTTAAGCTTTTACTGTTTGTTAATTACATTATCAAGATTATGGCTTATGCTACATGACTGCATCATTGCATGAGGAGATTATTTCTATATAAACATGTCAGAGTTGGTAGGTCTCTGCAAGCAGTGTACTAAAACTGTCAATGTTTATAAATCAAATTATAAATTCAAGTTCTTTGACTCCTAAATCATACATGTATTTGAAAGGAATGTTAAGGATTTTGTTCAGCTGCAGAAATTAATGAGACATCTGCAACATTTGATTTACTGTACCATTAGAAAAACTAATAGAATAAAAAAAAAATAGACCAACATTTGTGTTTTGGAATCAGATTCAGATTCTATATGAGCAACAATATGATATTTTCACAGAATCTTTATTACATATTTTCATTGTGCACCTCCTATTTGTGTAAACAAAACATTATTTTGCCATTAAAATCATATTGGCCTGTGACATCATTTAAAGACCTCAATGCACACAGTACCTCTAGTATTTATTTGTTGTCATGTTTGATAAAAATGTCAGTAGATCACAATATATTCTGTAAAATTAACTCCCATTGCATTCGTTGTAATTATTCTATGGCTATTTTTAGTCGAAAAAAGCATATAAGATCACTACAGCAGGCATTTTCGAAGTTTTGAAGTAATACAGATTTTTTGCACATTTGGTTTTTATTATATCATTAATCAAGTTATCAGAGAGCTCTCCATTGGTCTGTTTTACAAAGGAAGTTACAACTATAAGGCCAACGATTTCTGTTGATTCTAAACTTTGATGAATTAATTATTTTGTTTTAACTAACTAGCATATGTTATTTTTTCTACTCAACTTTTTAAATATATAAACACCGGTTTCTATTTTATATAAATAATATTGATTTATTGTATGCTCTTTAATTCCTTCTTGAAAATTTTCTCTTCATATCGAGATACCCCAGCTTGCTGATGGCGAATTACAATTTTCGTCCCATAATAGGCACTTACGGCTATTGAGCAGCGAGATATATTTTCCCTGTCAGCACCCACTGCGATAATGTAACTCGCTTTATACGTTTCATCGGAAGGACCACTTCCAGCGTCTCACAGTGGGAATCGAACCTGCGAAGTAAGGATTTACTTTTTAATTTTCAACTCTACATGTAGAGCAGACGCTCTAACTTCCGCGAGAATGCGGGCGACTATATGAATAAGGAAGTTATCGCAGAATGATATTTATTTTTTAGTCATAAAGTGTTTTGTAAAACACGCCCCATTAATTTCTTTATTTGATCTCCAATGGCTTTTTTGACAGACATTAAGTCGCCTTTGCTTAAAAAATGTTAGAAATCTGATTCAAAAAGAATCTACCTAGAAATATTAAAGCGTAATTAGTGGTATTTTTGGTAGGGTTCTAATCCGATTCAAAGGAAAACCTTTCAGAAACAAAGAATGTCTATCATAATATTTCAGAGAGAGAGAGAGAGAGAGGAGAGAGAGAAAGTATTCCCAATGAAATGCAGGAACTAAACACGCTGCAAAAACAACTGTTTAGTAATATAAATCTATCTTTATTCCCTGATATCAATTTATGCATTCATAAATAAGCTTTAATATATTTAAAATGTTTTCTTCTGTCAGAGTAACAGGTATGTAGTTATATGTTTTTATATTAAAAAAGACTTTTTGTGTGGAACCTGAGGTCCACGCAGAAAGTATATAAGCAAAATTAAACTGGATGCCATTGAAACTGTGCACAAACCTCAATGAATATTCACAAAAACTAGACATTCTTTTTAACTGAACTCTGGTTAGAAACACATGCATACTGTCCACGTATTGTAGTCCTTTGTTAAAGGACATGAATCTGCCAATTATATAAATTTTGATAATATTTTATAATTATTAGATGTAAATGTTCAGATCCGATCATAATGAGATGGTAGCGCCAGTTCCCCCAACTCCAGGTATCCGTTTTTGTCGTCTTCGTCAATTTTACTAGAGATAATGTCCATGTTAAATTTTGATGCCCTAGTCTCTTTATCTTCTTTATACTTCAATTCCTTTATTTTTTCTTTCGTTTTCAATCTGAAATCAAGGATTTTAAAATTTGAGAGAGAGAGAGAGAAAAAAAAAAGAGCTAGAGAGGTTTGCCGTAAAATATTCATGAAAAACATCTTACCTATAAATAAAAATATAAGCATTTGAAATTCCGAGAATTATAAGACAAACACAAAGAACTGCAAGAACGCCATAAAATCTTGTCAAGCTTTCAGTATCAGCCTTTTTCTCTGAAACTGCATAAAGAAATTCCTATCTGATTCATTAATTTATGATTTGTTATATTGCAAATTTTAATTTTTAATTTTTTGATAACATTAAGTAGACTATTAAACATTATTAACCTTGCAAACACATAGCACCTTGCCATCCGCCAACACACTTGGAAGCCCGAAGCACTTGACCTGGTAAAATTGAAAGCGGGCATTATGAAACTGTAACTTACAAGCCCAAACGGCATGTAAATTCTGAGGCATAAGCGTCCGTATTATCAAATTAGATAATTCCAATAACATTAAATATACTCAAAAGTCTTTGCTTTTCCTTCTAAACAGCTTCAAGCAAAAAAAGAAAATTTTAGAGACAATTCATTCTAGGAATGAAAGGTTAAAAAACAATATAACATGTAATTAATGAAGACTTTTGACGCCTATCTACCAACCCTAAATATCTATTTTGCGATTTACACCTGCTTTCACCTGAATTATTTATTTACAGAAAATTCCGGTCATAATTATATCAATTAAGGGCAAGACAATAGATTGATAAAAATGGGTTTTATATAATTTGCTTGGCTTGAAAGGGCAATTAAGAATAAAATTACTTGATTAAATTCTGGGCATGTGAATATTTGTTCGGGCTAGTGTAATTAAAGTTTAGAAATGCCCGAAGGGCAGGTACTGAGAAAACGATTTGGTGAAGACTGTTAAGATGTTGTCATGACAAAAAATTCATCGCTGCTCAACGGTCAATAGCTATATTGAGCATACTCGGGTATGTTAAGGCAACACATGGATCAGAATTCCGCGAATTAACACTTTTTTATAATTATGTAACACTAATAGATCGGAAAAGTCAAGGATAAAACTTTAGCTATAAT